TTAACTGACATGGTTATTCTTAAATCAATTAACTGTACATGGTTATTCTTTAAAATTCCAATTTAACTGGCATGGTTATTCTTTAAAATTCCAATTTAACTGACATGGTTATTCTTTAAAATTCCAATTCAACTGACATGGTTATTCTTTACAATTCCAATTCAACTGACATGGTTATTCTTTACAATTCCAATTCAACTGACATGGTTATTCTTTACAATTCCAATTCAACTGACATGGTTATTCTTTACAATTCCAATTCAACTGACATGGTTATTCTTTACAATTCCAATTCAACTGACATGGTTATTCTTTACAATTGCAATGGTTGAAGTTTCAATGCACATGAATTTGCATGAATCGCAAAAAATAAAAAATAATATATCATACCAGCACATACAAGGTAAAAACAAAAGATGCAATCTATTTAAGAGTCACAACATTGTTTTTAGGAAAATGTCAACTGTTATTTCAACATTAATTTCTAATAAAATATCACTCCAGTGCTACATCATTAAAGGTAAACTTGTTTTCAAGCTGAAAGGCATCACACCATCTGTAACTTTAATTAAAAAGATACAGCACTTGGTTTATGTTTTCTTTCACTTACATATCATAACAAATCTTTACAATTTTAATAACAAAGTGTAAAGCCAGATAAGGAATGTAATTCATCACAAAAGTATATGCAAAATATTGAGTTAATTACTTCTTGTGTCTATGAACGTCTGTCTGAAAAAAAAAAAATTGCACCATATTTTATTTCAAAGTTATTTATCTAATTTAAAGTTGAAACTTTTCCCAACCACCATGAATAAGAAGAAAATAACAGCAAGACAGGCTTACACCATACGCTTGCAAACAGTGATTGCCAATATACCTTTGTGGAAATTTTTTAACATCGTGGTGTTAAACTGCTGTAATTACACAAACTTTTAGGAGTAGATCCAGCATGTCCTTAAATAGATCTCGTACACAATTACAAAGCTATTAAACCCACTTGATTTATCCCTAAAGTTACAAAGTGCTTTAACTTAATATCAGCTTTAAAAATACACGTCCTCAGAAAAGATCGATACTCCTGTTTCTTTCTTAAAGTTGCTTCAAAGTGTTTAAATTTCATTAATGTTGTCAGCATTCTTTAGAAATGTTGTTAATGTAGATGTTTTTATGTCACATGTTCTGTGGAATAGCATCACCTTGAATCTTGTAATATATTGTCATCAACATCTGGAAAACAACCTTAAATAAAGATAAGAGTTTCAAAGATTAAACTTAAAATAAGCTTCAAAGAATTAACTCCCTCCAATTTGGGAAGTTATTTCTGTCATACTGATAATGATGTGTATTAAAAGTCTGTAAGTTTTATAAGTGTAGTAGTAGGTGTAATTCATTTAGAACAGAAGACCATGATTATTCAATTTTCATCTGTAATTTATAATGTAATACTATACAAACAGTCACTTTCTTTATTCTTCCCACTGATCAAACAGTCCATGATGACCAGTAGGATATTAAACAGCCACAATGCTCTCTGGTCAAATACTTTCAATTCATCTGACAACGTTGGTCGATGCTTCACGTCTGTGACAGCCTCCATCTCGACTTCACACAATACTAATTGTAAAGTTGGAGCAGTGACACATCTACTTCAAAGACGCTTTGCTGGAGGCAGTTAGTATCTCTAAGACTCAAAGTTTAAAATGTGAATTAGAGATTTATTTTTTATTATAGCTATTTCACAGGATTATTTTTAAAGTCAACAGTTCTGATTAGAATGATTATTATCAAGACTAACAATCGTAATCAGCTGACTCAAGAATCCTTTACAAAAAATTATTCTAGTGATCTATTTTTAAAGCTTTGCGATTTTTGATTTTGTGACAGAAATAGAATGGTTAACATTAAAGTTAAAACAGATTTTGGTCAAACATATGTACTTCATACTGTACTTCTCAATGACCTTCAGAAAATTCTGACCCCATTTCAATCCAAGAAAGTTAATTGAATGCTCAAGCATGACTTTTAAAATATACCAACCATGCATACAAAAATAAGCAAAACATAAATTTTTAATGGCTATTTACAATGCCACCAATTCAATAACAAAAAAAAAAATACACACACATACTGACATGTTAGCTTTTATCAGACTTTTCCTTTTGATCTTGTGGAACCACTTTCTGGGGAAGGTGGCCAGTTAGTAGGACTACCCGCAGGACTGTTATCTTCATCTGATTCATCAGATCCATAAACTGCTAAAAAATGTGATTTACACAGCAAAACCAACATTTATCATACAAAACAGTAAAAAACCAACTATCAATCAAGTACAAATAACCTAGATTAGTTTAGCCCTAAAATAATCACATGTTGAGACAACATAACTGTTGTTTACAAGTAAAACTAAACACTAGAACTCTATGATGTTTCACATAAACTGACACTAACACATACATGTGTTAACTGCCACTTGAAGTGATACTAACACATACATGTGTTAACTGCCACTTGAAGTGATACTAACACATACATGTGTTAACTGCCACATAACCTGACACTAACACATACATGTGTTAACTGCCACATAAACTGACACTAACACATACATGTGTTAACTGCCACTTGAAGTGATACTAACACATACATGTGCTCACTGCCACATAAACTGACACTTTCACATGCATGTGCTCACTGCCACATAAACTGACACTAACACATACATGTGTTAACTGCCACGTAAACTGACACTTTCACATGCATGTGCTCACTGCCACATAAACTGACACTAACACATACATGTG